GGCGGGCGCGGGGGGGGGGGGGGGTGCAGCTCCAAGGCAGTGGACAGGAGCAGCATGACAGTGGGGGAAGGGGCAGCTGACGTGCCAGCTTGATAGCTTCCCGTCCAAACCAGTCAGGATCACATGCCAGAGGCTCCAAGATCTACTGGTAGATCCCAATCTACTGGTTGGTGACCACTGGCTTAGATTGTCCTTTCACCTGAAGAAAATCTGGAATTCCTTTTAGCAGGATTTTTTCCCGTCTTTTAAAAAAAATCAGATTTCAGAGTTAAAAATCTAAATCTGTTTCATTCGATTGTCTAAGTGCAATTCAACTGGCTTAAACAGAATTATATAATCACAGCACATATGTAACAGGGTGGAGAATCAGATTCTAAACCTCTAAAATACTATCCTTGCTTGAAATTGAATATTTATTAATGTTTATATATTGATTGTATTCTTTAACATGTTAATTAAACATATTGATATCCAGATTTACTTGCAACTTTCCTCTATTGATTCTGATTGTTACTCATTTTCATTCAGTCCAAAATATATGCACCAAGTCAAATGAATAAAAAAGGTGGTGAATGAGAAGAGACCAGTTTGACAAGCAACTGAGGAGCTTTGGATAATTCCATGTCTATGAGAAGTAGACTGAAGGAATCCTCTTTCCAAATTGCATTTATATAGACTTTTAAGCAATGATGAACATACATTAGAGACTTATTAAATGCAGACTTGTATTGCATTTCAACTATTCTTGTGACTTTTTATAATACAACCATAATTATTAGAAGAGAAGTTCATTACTATAGTTCTTCACAATAACATACATATTCTGAATGTAAGGTCTGAATAAATAGGCTTTGATCTCTCCTAATAAAAAGCCTATTTGGGTAGAGAATGCTGAATCTTCTTTGCAATCCTAACTGGGGCTACAGGGGATAGCCGAGTTAGTCTGTTACAGAAAAAAACAACAAATGGTCTAGTAGCACTTTATAGACTAACAAAACAGGTAGATGGTATCACGAGCTTTCATGGGCACAGCCCACTTCTTCAGATGACTGGAGTCATCTGAAGAAGTGGGTGATGCCCGCAAAAGCTCGTGATGCCATCTACCTGTTCTGTTAGTCTATAAAGTGCTACCAGACCATTTGTTGTTTTTAACTAGGGCTAGTGCATTGGAGAGTTTCACAGCTCCCCCTGAAAGCCATAGGTAGCTAGTGTTGTCAGTGATAGAGATGCAGCCGTGTTAGTCTGGTCTAGCTAAAACAAAAGACAGAACTATGTAGCACTTTAAAGACTAACAAGATGGTTTATTAGGTGATGAGCTTTCGTGGGTCAGACCCACTTCCTCAGATCAATTTGTGGAAGAAAATTGGCACGACCATATATACCAAAGTGATACAATCAAAAAAAGTGAACACATATAACTGACAAATCAAATTTTAGAACAGAGTGGGGGGTGAGGAGGGAAGATAGTGTCTGTGAGGTAATTACATTGGGGTGATAATTGGGGAAGCTATCTTTGTAATGGGTGAGATAATTAGCATCTTTGTTGAGACCCATACATAAAGTGTCAAATTTAAGCAGTGAACTTGTTGTCAGTGAACTTGTGTAGGTCTGGATCCATCAGCCATATCCCAGACACTTCCCAGGCCAATATTCCCTCTATTTTTTTTCCATCCATTCTCAGAATAAATGTTATGTGACCGAGGCATGTATGAATGTACACCCCCAATAGAAATGCATGCTACCAGCTGTGGGTGCTCTGCTAATCAGCTAGGTAACATTTGAATCTCTCCTGAGTAACTGCCCAAGTGCTCAGCTTACAGGGAACACTGCTCCAGGCTATACCAGACCTCACCTCCCAGGTCGCTGGAGAGTGTAGTTGTGTGACATTCAGAGAGCTGTTAAATTCCACTATGTGGCTTCTCTATGGTTTCTTACCCTTTCAACCCCACATGTTGAATCTTGACAGCTTGAACTTTCTCCTTTGGTGTTTGGAGGTCAAAGCTAGACAAATTCAGACTGAAAAAGAAATGTGTGGGGTGTGTTTTTTTTCTTAATAATGAGAGAAATTAACCACTGGCACAATGTAACAAGTTTCATGGTGGATTCTCCATCACTACTGATTTTTAAATCCAGATGGGACTTTTTTTTTTTTCAAAAAGATCTCCCCTAGGAATTATTTTGGGGACATTTTTCAGACTGTTATGCAGGAGTGCAGACTAGAAGTTCATAGTGATCCCCTTTGGCCTTGGAATCTATGATGCTATTAGGCCCTTCCTACATAATATGCAGTAAAATACACACTTGCCCCAAAGAGCTTGAATCCTCATTTGCTTTATAAGGTGGTCATGCTGATAACATTTCATTGACTTTTAAGAGGCCACTGCAATGTACTGTTCTTATGGTGTTTAAATGGCTTCACTATATAGGCCAGGAATGGGCAACAAGAAGTCTGCGGGCTGGACATGGTTGACCAGGGTTAGCCAGTGGCAGGCCACCAGATACTTTTTTTTGCCTGCACTTTGGCTCCCCTTAGCTGTGGATCGCTATTCTTGGCCAATGGGAGCTGCAGGCCATTCTAGTGAATGGTATCCTGCCCATGAGTCGCTTATTGCTACTTCTGCAGAGCTGGCACAGTCTGCTGAGGGAACATACGAAAATGCATGCAGCCAAACGTTTATCATCACTGACGGAGCAGGAGACCTGTCAGGACGCCACATCAGTCAATCCTGAGTTTACTGTATCGTTGTCCTGAATAACTACACTTGTTACAGGCAGTAAACTGCCTATACATTTTATAAACAGATGCAATCAATTGAGGGAAGCGAGTTTTTATCCTTGGAGTAATTGCTAAAAGTGGCCATATATCTTGGTAATTCTGAATACAAGAAAAAATGTAAAACCCTATAATGTCTTCAACATATAACTTAGAGACTTTAGATCAACCTTTTGTTTTTCTTACAGAAAGATTCAATGTATATTTGATGCCATCCCCCAATTTAGATGTGCATGGGGAATGCACCTTGCAGATAACATTTGAGCATATCTGTCTTTGGGATATCCAAAATCCCAGAGTAAAACTCATCTCTTGGCCATTAAGTGCCCTCCGACGGTATGGACGAGACCCGACTTGGTTTACGTTTGAAGCAGGGAGGTGAGTTTGGTTTGCTATTATGCTATAAGCTGTTTTCATAAGGGCAGAGGGGTTAATTGTATGTGGTACTTATGAGCTTCCCCACCTCATACTGAAGTGAACGAGTGTGTACGGTCACGAAAAACCTTACAGAGAGTGTTCCACACATTGTGCAGAAAACAGTTCATAGTTCATCCTTTTGATATGGATAGTTTTAAGTTGCAGCTTAAAAAAGAACACATTTTTCATACTGATTCTAGTTTTTACTGTGTAGTTATTTTTAATAAATGTTGTACAAAAGCACAGAGAATTGGCTGGACAGATTTTAAAGATGGAGATGAATATCATACTCTGCCAGTAATTTGTACAACATAAAGATTGACCCTTGGGCACTATGTTGAATTAAGAGTTGTATGTGAGTCTATCCCCAAAAGAAGTGAATCTTAAATTTCAGTGCTTTTCAATGTCAAGCAATTCCCTACAGCAAATGAAAACGAATGTTGAAAGGCTGTATAATTTTTTTGACAAATGAATTTTGAAGGAATTCAGCTGAAACTCTGTGTTTTGGAGGGACTCTACCTAAGTTTTAATGAGCTCCAGCACTTCTGAGGCTTAACTTACAGATTCTCTTACCAAGCTAAATAGTTGAATGATTTAGAAAGTGATGCTGATATAGCAATTTATATAATTAGGGGAAAATAAAGGGTTAAAAGAGAAGTGTCATAATAAAACATAGAAATTAGAAATGGAAAAGACATTAGAATATAAAATTCCATCTCCCCATAAGAGAGCCCTGATAAAGAGGATATATTTGCTATTGTACTGATAACTTCTTCCTTAACAATAAGACATGAAGATGTAATTATGAGTTACTAATGGATCTACTAGTTACATGTACAAGTATTTTAAGTTGAAGCAAACTCTGCTCCCAAAACTTTTCTGAAATTCTGTGCAATTAGGGAGAACTACTTAGTGGAATCAGGATCTGCGATGCGGTTGCAAGTCGGTGTTAGTGTTAAAATGCCATTTTAGTTCCTGTTAGAACCTTATGTTTTATACTATGGTGGATATTTCATTTGCAGACCTGAAAGAGCAAAAATCTGAAGAGAAATGGTTTGGTAACTTCACACAAGTCCCAGAGGAAATTTTGTGCTCTCTTATAGTGGTTCAAATAATATAAGCCTAATTACTTACATTTTCATTAAATTTTCATATTGGTCTCCTCAATTAAAGTTCAAACCCACCAGTGCATGTGGAGGTAACATTTCTCCTCTTAGTATCTATTGTGGTCGGAAGCAGACGCGTGGCTTCCTCTAAACAACACTTTCCTATTTCTAATATCGTCTTTAATAAATCTAAACCGATAAACACAATAATTTAGTTCAATAATTTAGATTCTAGACAGAAGCTGTGTCTCACAGCTGAATCAAACCCTTTCAAGCATAGGTAGTTTGATATTGGAATACACAAAGGATCTGATTCTGTAATATTTATATTGAGAGGCAATTAGGTGCATAAGTAAATACTGCTCCACAAATATGAGTTATAGAATCTAGCTTGTATGTTTCTAATAACGATGAGCAATTGTTATATCCTATTCCAGTGGTTTGTATATATGCGTATAAAATTGTATCTAAATCCATGTGCTGTATTGGAAACAGTCGTTTGTTATTTTTATTACCTTTTGCTTTGATAACACTTTTTTTACAGCAGTACTGCCAAACACATACTTTACAAATCACCCTGAAGAAATGAAAATCTCACATTTGGATCATTTCTGTTCTTGCTTTGGCAGGATGTGTGACACTGGGGAAGGACTATTCATCTTTCAGACAAGAGATGGGGAAGCGATTTATCAGAAGGTTCACTCAGCTGCTTTGGCCATAGCAGAACAACACGAGCGCTTACTGCAGAGTGTGAAAAATTCAGTGGTATGATTGTTAGTTGTGCTTGTCATCATTAATGTTGCCACCACTCAACATTAATGCTAACACAGTCCATAGACCACCACCTTGAGCAAGGGTGGGAAATAATTTTTTATGGGGGGGGAGGACTTCAAGAATTTAGTAAGTGGTCAAGGGCTGTACTCTTCCATTATATTAATGGAGGAGATGCAGGGGTCTGGGATGGAGGATGGGTGCAGAGAGGAGCTTGGGATAAGGGATTAGGGTGTGGGATTTGGGAGGGAATTTGGGTGAAGGAGGAGATTGTGATCTGGGTCAGGGGAGTGGGGTACAGGGTCTGGGAGAAGTATGGGCACATGAGAGGCTTCTGGCCTGGGGGGAGAGGTGTAGGAGGAGGGAGCATAGGATCTGGGAGGGAGTGGTAATCTGGGGCAGGAGGGGGTGGAGGGATTTGGGTTGTGACCAGGGACAGCAGAGTGGGGTGCAAGGTCTGGGAAGGGTGTAGGAGGGGATGCAGGGTTTGGGAAGGTGTATGGGGTACATGGGGTAGGGATTCAGGAGGAGGACAGAGGGTTGGGGGAGGGACAGGCTCAGGTGCCAGAAGCAGGCGCTGGCTGGGAGATGCTTACCTGGGCAGCTCTCAGCCAGCAGCCCAGCAGGTTCCTTAGCCAGGGTCCCTGCCTTCCACGTGTATGTACTCAGAGCAGCTGAAGGGGCATGTTTGCTGCTGTAAACTCTGTGAGCCCAGAGGATGAGGGAGGAGGGGCACTTCACATACGGCCTGTCTTATAAACAGGAAGTTGCTATTGGCCAAAATTGGCCAGTGGAAGTTACTGGGGATGGGGGCATCATAAAAGGTTCTCGCCTTCTCCCCTAGTTCTCAGCATTCAGAGATGCCCATATGGCCCCACAGCCGGCTTTACTGAGTGCTGAGTGGGGGCAGGGCACACAGGGAACTGGCTGAGGCTTTTTCAGGCAGGAGCTGCGCGCAGACCATATTTTCCTCAGCCCTGTTCTTGAGCGTCATCTTAATTTTTTGCTTACAGATATTACATAGCTTGAGGGTATGGCGATTTACTTCTTTTTCTAGTTAAGGTGTTATTGTGTTCAGTTCTGACTAAATTTAGCACTTGGGATTTCTAAAGTAGTAAATAATTCTGATTTCTTTTCTAAATAACTGAAAGGAGAGAAGTTTCTGCATTATATTCCTTGATTGCCTTACTTGTAAACCATCAGTGGTGTAAATTGTACAGAAAAGATGGCTGCATCCTGTAGGCACATGTTTTCCATTCTTATTAGCTTCCCATTATTTATCAGCAACTGGAGTAGTTTATTTGGAAGTGTTTGTCATCAATTGAATTCCAAAATATTGTGGCTGGCTCATGGTTTTCCATTTATTAATTGATGTTTACACTTCGAGAATAATTTAGAAAGTGTCATATGTTGTTTAAAACCAAACTGCCTGGTTTGTTAGGGAGAAACAAATATTGGCCTAGAGTTTCAAAAGATCTCTGCTTCCTGGGGTTGTAAAATGCTTTAATCCTGACTTCTGACCTGTTTTTTGAGATTTACAAAACTAGAGAAATTAGCCCGATAGGGACCCAGGAACTGGCATACTAGATCAGACCAGTGGCATATCTAGTCTACTGTCCTGTCTCAGAGAGCATGCTGTCTAAAGCAGTGGTTACCAACCTTTTTTATACCGGGAATCAGTAAACCCATTCACAAACTTTTGGCGGTCTAGTAATGCTTTATTTGCATATTAATTGTGCAAATAATGACTATTCCAACATGCAAATAAAATTATACCAGTTCACGGTATCGAAAGCCCCGGCCTCCAGAGCCAGCCCTAAACTCTAGAGCCCCTTACCCCTGCACTACCGCCCAGAGCCAGCTACTGACCCCAGAGACCTCTGCACCCACCCCCCCCAGTGCCAGCCTCTTGCCTTCAAAGTCCCCTAGTGCCAGCCTCCCATCCCAAATGCCTCAGTGCCAGTCTCCTGTTTCCAGAGCCCCACTGCACCCAATCCCCTCGTGTTCCCCCATGCCAGCCCCTAGTCCCCAATATTAGCCTTGTCTCCAGTGCCAGCCCTGCCCCCTAACCTCCTCACTATTAGCCCCACTCCCAGACCCCCCCAGTGCCAGCTCCCCATCCTGGATATCACAGTGTCCCTCAGTGTCAGCCCACCCACCTTTTAGAGCCTCCCAGCACTAGACCCACCCCCACTGCCCTCTTCACCCCAGCCTGCCTTCCCCCACCATGCCCTGCTGCTGCCTCCCAGCCACCAGCTGAGTGCAGAGCGCTTCTCTGCTCGGCGGGAGGACTGTGAGGAGCCCACAGGATGCCTGGCTCCTGCTAAGCGCCACCGCAGCCAAACTCTATGTGATGCTTGGCCCCAGCTGAGCGCAGCTGCAGGGCTTGGCTAGGGTCAAGCACCACGTGGAGCCCGGGCGCTGCGGGTCTCAGTAGGGGCCTGGCTACTTATTGCCCACCCCTGGTTTAGACATTTATAAAGCATACTTATCCTTCCTAATGTAAACATGGATGGCGTTATTATCCATATTAACGGCTAATCCTTTTCAGAACCCTTCTGAGCTCTTAGTCCAAGCTGGAAGTTCTCAAACTTCATTGCATCGTGAACCCCTTCTGACAGCAAAAGAGTGGAATGAAGCCTTAACCTTCCAGCCATGTAATGGGACCCAGAGTCTAAGCACTTCAATCTCACATTGGGTGCCTGTAACCTAGTCCTTGGGCTTTGGCTTCACCCCCCGGGCAATGGGGCTCCGGGCTTTGGTTTCAACACTGCATGATGAAGTTTAGGCTTAGGTTCCAGGCCCCAGCAAGCTTAATGCCAGCCCTGGGAACCCCATTAAAATGAAGTCATCATGACTCACTTTGGGGTCCCCATCCACAGTTTGAGAACCACTGGTCTAAGTGATATATTATGGTGGTGAGTAATTGGTTGAAATAAAATGAAAACCATTCTCTGAAATTTCCTCTAAAGATGGCCACTTTTGGAAAATTAATATATTGAATTAATATTCCCCCTCTTCCTTTCCTCCTTTAAAAAAAATCTCTGGTAGTTTTTTTGTTTGTTTCTTTGTTTGTTGTTCTTCTGAATGTGGGCCAGGAATTGGAATCAGAGTTGTAAAAAAACAAAGCTAGAGAGGCTGATCTCATGGTAATTCCATCTCACCCAGAATGAGGAAAAACTAGAAATCCTGAAAGGAAAAAGAATAACTGTTCTCTTAAATTGTCAAGCCTAATTTTGCAGATTTGGATAATTGAGCTAAACTTCAGTCAAGCACCCAAGTTAAGAAATAGTTCATTGCTATAGATTGCAAATCTTTGGGGGCGGGAGATAGGGTGAGTCTACTAAAACAAAATGTAATACTATATATTGTTTCACCTAAATAGGTCCAGTAATAGAACAGTCACTTGTTTCCAGTATATTAATTTGTAGCTAATATTTACACTTCACAGATAGTATTACTGAAGTAGTTTTTCTAGATTTTCTGCCTTGTATTCACATTTGCTTAATCAGCATTGTGTGATCATCTTGTAGGTTAGGAATACAAGGACATTTTTATTAAGAAGTTGAAGGCAAGATTCTTCTGTTGGATCCACATGGTGTTGGCTGACTTCTTATATATTCAGTGTCATGCTGTCAATAGGAGATTCACTGTTGTTGTGCTATCGTAGCACAGGATGCAGCATGCCAAGCCAAGTGCAACTGTAAAACCTCTGCTCCTTCGGAAGCCTTGAAAATTTAGCAATTTCCAATGCAACCTTCAGTTAGGCTAAGTTTGGGTAGGACATGTCAAGGACACACTTTGCTTTTCTGCCTCCACAAATGTATTGAGGTGAGGTACAGTATCTTCCACTGGTGCATTTCTTAGAGCTGTATTGATGACTTTGTGATGGTTAAAACAATAAGTTATTTTCAGGTCTTCAACAGCAATGTCATCCTTTCATCATGGGGGGAGGGGGGGATAAAATGGTGAGAATTAATTTGTTTATCCTGACTTAGCAGCTATTTTACTGATGTAACAGAGCCACTCACCTCTCAACTAAACAGATTAAAAATAGCCTGGCATGGCTCATACACCACCTTGGAAACAAGGACTAGTGTTGGAAGAGATTGAGGCTTTTGTCTATACTTGCAAGCTTTGTTGAGGAAAAGTGCCTTTTGGTGACAGAGCTGTGTGAGTGTTCAAACTGCAATGCAACTTCCGTCAGGGGAAAAAAGGGCATTTTCACTGACAAATGTACAGTTCCACAAGAGACTCCCACTACCCTGCGTTGTCGACAAACATGCAATTTAGTCACCTCCAGGTGTTTTGTCTCTGATTCTGGCATCCAGGAAGTTCCCCATAATTCTCAATCAGATGCTCTGGTCAGCAGTCTAAACTCTGCTGCCATGCAGCCAGGTGACCAGCTACCTGCCCCTCCCCTTTGCAAGTCTAGCAAAATTTAAATCGTATTTCCTGCTGGCTTTTCTGTGTGAGTTCATTGGAGAGGATAGTGACTGGTTTCATCCACGTGGTGTTTGAGGCAGTTGATGTAATGTTTGAGGTGCAACATACAAGGCTGACCTTAGAAGTCATGGTGGCCTACGCAGCCTGAACACCTGGACCTCTTCCCGCTCCCCGTGGGTTGGCTCAATGTGCAGTGGTTTTATGGCATCTTTCCAGGTGCCTGTGCCTGGTCATCATACCAAACGCTCTCCCATCTGGACCACCATGCAGCTGTCAGATCTGATCTGTGTATGGGGAGAGGAGTCTGTCCAGTCCCATCTGCAAGTGACCCATAGGAACTGGGACATGTACGGACACACTTTTCGATTCTTGTGTGAAAAGGGGTGTGACAGGACACGCAGTGCAAAGCGAAGATTAAAGACCTGAGACAAGCTTGTCATCAGACCCATGAAGCAAAACAATGCTCCAGTGCTTCACTGAAGACCTGACATTTCTATAAAGAGCTGGACGTTATCGCGGCAGTGACCCCACCTCTACACTAAGAACCA